TGTCCCCTCTTGAAAAGTCTATATAGCAAAATAAGGCCTGCTTTTTTATGTATTCTGTTTCTAGGAGAAATTATTGAAAGTTCATAAGAGCTAGGTGTTGCTCCCAGGAGTATAGCAAGGGAGGGAAGTTACAGAAGAAAATTTAAGAAAGTTTTTGGTATCTCTACGATATCAAAGCTATTTTCACAGTAAAAATAGCCAGGGAATCTTAAATTCTATTCTGACAACCTTCCAAGGCTCAGGACTTGCCAGGTGCATGACTGCTCCTATGGGAATTTGTAATCTCTTTAAAAACCAAGAACAGCAAATTCCACTGGAAGCATACTGTCCCAGAGCAGAGTCCCCACATCTGGAATTAGCAAGATAAAACACAGCAGTTGGATTTTCCAACAAGAAGATGATCACCAAACTACAGCACTGGAAGGGATACTGAGAGGTCATCTACCTCCATCCCTGTGAAAGCATCTCTGCCCCATCTGTTTTACCCCTTAAAGACCTCCCCAATGCTGCAGACACCACAGTCTATCCAGGCAAGATGGTCTTTTCTCACAATTCACTCTTTTTGCCTTTTGAAAAAGTTTTCCCTAATGATTAACCTGGATCTTTTCTACCATAATTTACATCTACTTCTCATCCTACCCAATAGAAACAAAATGTTTGTTCCTCTTACTCCTGAAACAGCCTTTTAGATGCATGAAGATTTCTCTTGTCACTCCTTACTACATTCCCTAGACCTAAAACTCCATTTCTTCTTGCCTGTCTGCCTGGTTTAGATTGTGAGACTGTTGATTCCTGGTGTTCCCCTTTGGTGGCTCTCACTGTAGTCCATGTCTTTCCTGAATTTCTCTGTGCAAGAACAGCATGCAGCATGTTCCCAGTTGAGGCCTTACCAGTATGATGCAGAATGGAAGGAGAACTTGGTGTGTTCTGCCAACATCCCTCCTGTTTATACATCTTATACATTTACAGTGCCAAAGGATTTTTTTTTTTTTTTTACTTTCTACATCAGTATTTGTAAAAGTCAAGGCCACAACATGAAACCAAAGCACCACTGAAGCACCTCCATTGACAGGAACTCTCATCTCCTGTATGCAAATGTTTCTGTTAAAAGTCTGTATTTAAACTACCACCTGCTGGAAGCAGTTTAATCAGGGATCTCCTTGATGAGTTATAGTCTTGTTTTCTCATGCTTACATTTACTTGGACAGCTAGAGCCATTTTTTTTTAAATTCAAAAGTAATCTCTATACAATCAGCAGCTGAGCACTTCCAAAAGATGAACTGTTTCCAGAAGAAACTGAAGGACTAGTCTAGTCTAGAGAGGTCTTAAAATCTGCTGTCTTCTGCAACTGTTAGCAGGAAGAATTGCCCAGTTCTGGAGGAAACACAGCACTGACTTCCTAAGAAATAACACAGGTATTCTACCTGTGTTTGAAATGCAAGGCAGAAGTCACCAACCACCCGACATTCTCCTGTTGCAAGTGATTATTCACTGCATAGGCATTTGAATAGCTGTAATATTTATGAAATGATGCTTTCCAACCCCCTTCCACCACCCTGAACACACATGCAAACACTAATCCAGACTGATGTTGTGTGCTGGGGTGGGAGCTGAGTTCCAAATAAATTGCTGCTGACGTTTTGTTACAAGAAAACAAATACAAGTTTGTAATTCACTTGAAAAAAAGCTACCAATTGGCTCACTAAGAAAAAGTAGAAACTTCTCTAGATAAAAACTTCTGCAGTTAAACAGGGAAATAAAAAGATGGCCCATCAGAGACAGTAAATTTTGATCACGTAGAAAAATGTTTCTAACCCTCCACACTGAGAAAATAAGCTTTCAAACAGGAACCAATAAGGAAAGTTTGTACATGCAAATCTGCTGAGTGTTCAGGATAGACTTTAGTACTTGAAAACTAAATTCTAGGCACTGGGTCTGTGCACAAACACCGTAGACAATTTCACTGTTCTCAGATTTTTCCAAGCAGTAAAATCCAAAATAGCAGCTGAGTTTGCTGCTATGACTCAGGACTGTGGGCATATGAGAAGCTGATGAGAAACACACAACTTTCACTTCACTATACTGTAAAGTTTTAAGTAGAAGTAACCCAGAACAAAGGCTACACAAGGGCAGAAAACTCCCTCCCAAAACTGTACCTTATGCTAAGGGCTGGGAAGAGTAGCCCAGCTGAGTTTCACTTCATGCTTCCTTTAGGAAGCACAGCTCAAGTGTGTGAAGAGGTGCAAGATCAGTCAAAGCAGTAAAACAACTGCTTACCAATGAAGAAAACACAGATATTCAAGAAGACAATACCCAGATGAAGTACTACTAGATTGTTGCCATACTATGCAATTAATACATTAACCAAAAAATCAGAAGTACAGCATTTCCTTGTACTAACCAAAATGAACGGATTTAAACATACCATGGTGAAACGTAAGGGAACGTCCTACAAGGTCATCACTGAGACACTTTATTGGTTCTTCATCTAATTTGGGCCATAAAATTCCACACAAGAACTGCCTGTAAAGTTGAGACTGGTTTACTCCATGTAGCATGCATTAAGGTCTAAAAGGCATGTTTACTATGTGGAGTTTGGATTAATGGACAGCCTGAGCTATGTTTCCTATTCTTGTTTTTAAAGCAAAAGCTTTTCACTCCTTTAACCAAGTGCATAGAGCAGCTCCCTTGTGGTGTTGTCTAGAAATAAGTGACAGCCCCAAATCTCAAACAGATATGGGACAAACTCTTAACCATGGTTAGGTTCTCTTTAGCAAAAGGCTCTGTTGTCCTGGCTGAGAACCTTATTGCTTTACTAGTACTACTGGAATTGTCCTTTGACAAGCTATAAAAAAGACTCTACCTATGTTCCATTCAAATTCATCACTGTTTAGAGAAGTATTAATAAAAAGGGAAAAGTAAATCAATGAAGTCACTTTATTGATCCTGAGAACATGAAACTACTATAAATAAAACATGTCGATGTTGTTTTACGGATAGGTCAAAGTCCTGCTAAGGGTGTGTTTGTCATTCTAATTTATGTTCAGCTTCATCAACAAAGTATTTGCTATTGCAGTATTGTATTTATTCATCTCCTGTTTTCCTCCCCCACTGCCAGAACATCTGCTAAACGTTTCTGAATCTAAGCTTGTTGGGATAGGGCCCGTTACTTTTACATATTTATGAACTGTGTGGTACACTGGCACTCATTCAGCACAGGCTGCTTCCCAAGGCTCATGCGCGAATGACATCAACCGGTGTGGGTTTATGTGCAGGAGATCCACATGTGCAGGGGTCACAGAGGGGGCTGGAAATCCAGCTACATCCATAAGTATTTAAGCTTCACTGCTGCTGAGGGACAGAGCTATCTACTAATATATGAATGATGCAGGAATGCAGAAGAGGAAGAACAGGTATTTACAGTGTCCCCAGGAATTGTAATGAAGAGTAAGGGGCTAAAACTGAATGAAAAGAAGTTGTATCTGACTCCAGAAACATCCAGAAATATCACCAAAATATTTTTCAGTTTGGTCAAACAGTACAACAAAACAAAAGCTACTATGCTGGTGTTAATTACAACAGGCGGGACAAAGCAGAACACAGGACTGGTTCTGGGGATGGAAAAATTAACAAATAATTAATTTCTGATTTCTGGGGGTTTTTTCTGTAGTAGCCCAGCCTCTCTTGCCAACACTCACACAGGCACAGCTTTATACTATTTACACACTGAGGGGAGTGTGTTTGGTCGTTATTGTGCAGGGCACTCACACACGTGACTCCCATTACACGAACAGAAGCCGTGTTCATAAACTGCCCTTCTGTGCCTGGGCTGAGTGGACCTGTCCCTATTTGCCTTCCCAGCTGGTTTGCAAACAGTGCCTTTCCAAAGTCGAGGTTGTAAGATTTTCAAACCTCGTGAGAGAGAACGTACCCCGTCTCCTCTCAACTGTGAGAGCTCTGAGGATCATTTGTCTGCCTAAAGCCATGCCAGCAAAAGCACAAGCACAATCGCAGCCTAATAGTCTTAATGAGATTACAGCCAGAGATGCCCCAGTGCTGCCGTCTGGCCAAGGAACAGAACAAGCACCAAATTCATCTGGAGGAAAAAAAAAATCTCCTTGGCTTTCATGTGACCAGGCTGTAGGTTGATCAAGATTTCAGATCTATGGCGTACAAGATACCTTTCATTTCTTTTTTCCTCATATTTCCTTTTTTTTTTTTTTTTGTAATGCATTATTTTTTCACAAAGCAGCATATTCTTTTCACAGATCTCTAGGTTTCACTAACATTTTTCAGGACAGAATTAAAAACTGATGATCATACTGCTCTGTAACATGATTACATTTATAGATGCCTATTGTTAGCCATGCTTGATTGATCTCACCCGTAGCTACTGTCTGTGTGCTTGACTATGACATCCATGTGGTACAGTGGAGCACGGTTGATATTTGCCAATATAATAATTCCTTCTATCAGCAGTTTATCTGGTGCATCTGTTTGTCTCACTGGAATGAAGTCGCTTGTAACTCTATCCTACATAGGGCAATCTTTCTGCACCTGTTCAAGCATTTGATTTACTCACTGCCTAAATTCTTAATCTCAGCAAAACCAAATAAGTTAGCTTGTATAACAAAGGCTGGAATGGTGAATGAAATGAAAAGCTGATCTAGTACTGTATTAGCTGGCTAGAGCACAAAACCTGGTATTAAGGTACAGATTGTGCAGTGCTCGCTGCAAACTGCAGATCCTGCCCTGCAGATCTCATCGAGCTTGCTATGAGAAACCTGCTGCTGACGGGTGAGGCTGCAGCTCCTGCAGGAATTCGCGCCTAGGACAAAAAGCCAGCAGTGCATTCATGGATTTTGCGTGAAGCCTAGAGCCAGCACAAAAGAAAATCCCTCTCCTTAGACACAAGAACCCCCAGAATTTGATAGTTAATTACAAACAATAAATAACATTTGCAGCAGGAGGTACGAGAGGCCAGCTGGGTCAGTACTCACAGAGCGAGGCTGCGTAAGTGACCTTCTTCCCACATGAGTCAACTCCTCCCCGACAGGTGCTCATAGTTCTCCCGCCTCTGCAAGGGCTGCCATCTAAATTAGAGCCCCCTCACCACTCCTCGTGCCCTGCTCCCACACGGGTTTCTCCTTGGAGAGCTCGTACTAACAATCTTCTCTTTCTCTAGGCTTGCCAGGTAAAGCCAAAATTTAAAAGAAATGGGATCTCAGATGCAAATCGCCTTCTGTAAGTCTTTCCCGGAGCATCTCGCAGGGTCTCGAGGAGGCTGTGTGATGATGGGCCTGGCTGCCAATTCGTCACTGTTGCCACAGTAACGGAGCAGTGGTCCCCCGTGGCTCGCTAAGGGAGCGGCAGTGGGAGCACCGAGTGTGTGTATTGCCTCCTCCTTTGAGGATTCCTCTGACCTGGGTAATCCACACATTTCTTAAAAAAAAGGCTGTTTTATACAGAAGGTATTCCCCTCACACCCCACATACACCCCACAGCCCCCACCCCCCACCACCCCCCCCCAGTTACTCTGCTCACAGAGCTCTACAGCATCTTTAAACCTTGTTTGCATAGTGTAGGAAAGCTGGCATAGCCCCGGGAGAGCTGCTGGCTTCCTCTGGGGAATACCATGTCTTGTGAAAAGAGGAGAAAAGAGACCTTGTTCTGGTAAACATGTGAACACGAGCACACGCTCAGCAGTGTTTGAAGAAGTGCTAGGACAGAGCGATATAATCTTGTCTCTGTGAGCAGGTGAACGAGCAGTTGAGACAGCAAAAGGGTATTTTTCTGCCAAGTGTTTCTCTGCCAACACAACCAAGCACAAGTGTGTCTGTGAGGCCCTATTACAGCTACAGGGAAGCTCAGGGCCGGCAGAATTCCTTTGTTCCTGTCCCCTCAACTGAAAAGTCTTGGCGTTATCCTTCCCGAGCCTTAATATTGCTGTTTTCTACTTATTTTTGTTACAACATTGACATAAACAGTATCAGTAATGGTAGGTAGGACAGTCCACAGCAGCAGAGACCTACAGAGCCTGGGCTGTAGTCAGAGAAGCAACCAGGACTGCAGAAGCAGGCGTTATTTTGCTGGACAATGAACAATTCAGCCTTGTTTTGGAAAGCAACTCCTTGGATAGTTAAATAATACCACTTGTTTATGAGACAGACTATTTATCTCATCTTCTTTAGAAAATGTTGCTAATGCTTCTTTGTTGCTTTCCTTATTATTCTCTCTTAAAGCCAAGTGCTTCTTTTAAGGTAATGGATTTCCTCTCTCAGGATGCCAGTAACAAACACAGCTCTGTGTGCATGTAGGTGGTGTGGACAAAAACAAACACACAAGTAAAACCCACACATCTGCTTTCTTAACTAAATTTCCTGCCCTCACTTTCAACTCAGTTCGTTTGAGTGCTTTGTGACAGTGGCTCATCCCAACTTGTTAGGTAAGGACAAAATCCAAACATCATGACAAGGCGTTAAGTACCTTTTGCCCCATACAATCTGAATCAGCAGAGATGGGACTAGTGCAGAACAGCAGTATCAACCAGAAGGGTTAAAAAGACTTGAACTAGATTTAAAAAACTGTGAGTGGGCTAAAAAGAATCTCAAACTTTAAAAGCAATAACAATTCTAATCTTTTTACTTGTCTTTGCCTTCAGGCTGAGTTTTCTAGCTTTTCTCCAACACACTACGAGGATTAGAAATTAATTTGGTTTAGAAAAAAACTTCCATTTCTCCTTCATTTACAGGATTCTGAAACGTGGGACTTGGAGAACATCACCAAATACAATGATGACCATGACAATGCCACTAGGCTTGGCAGAGCAGAATATCTCTGCAAAGTAGGAAAATCCATCTAGGCCCAGCCCCAGGAAGTCTGGAGCCTTCACATTAAAGATGCTGGATTTAACAGCACCACCCACACACCCACAGACACACCCACACACCCCCTCCCTCCTTGCATGGTGGCTTAGTGTAGTGGCTTGTTCAAAATTAGTTATGAGTACACCCAGAGTTATAAGCATCCGGTTCCACACAGATGTGAGCTTACTACACCAAATGAAGGCATATTATAAAAGTTCCAGTTATCACAGGCATTTGGTGGCTGCTTCTTCAATAATCTTAAATGAGAATGCAGTAAGATCAGAAACCGAGCTGCACACTTAGTCTTACACAGGGAAAATGTTGGTTGGTACATATAATTAAATATATCTGTTTTGCTGACACTCCCTCCCCCGCCCCATCCCTCAGATATTTTTACGCTTGGCTTAGTGGAAAAGACTTGGTGCCTCTGGGCGTGATTGCATGAAGCCATTCAAAATGAAGCTGTCCCCTGAAGAAGACAATCCTGAGAAGGAGTAGTGCTGGGCTAGCAGAGGGTATGAAAGCAGCAGAGGAATGAAGGGGAGAGGAGGTGGCTGGGCTCGGCCTGCGGCACCGAGAAGCCTTTTCCATTTGCAGCATTATCTTCCCTCAGCCAGAGCTCTTTAATGGGATCACAAGCGCTGCTGTGCCATTACTTACAGAAGAGGGTATAAAAATGACAGCGGCTAATAAGCACCAATTTCTCATCAGCCGCCTCATCAGGCTAATTTCACAAACAGAACATTTCAGAGGCTAACAGGCTGGAAATGACATTCCGTCTGCTGGATGCAGATCAGCACAGAGAGACTACATCCCTGTGCCTGGACACTTCAGTCCCAGCCACAAACAAAAGGAGGGCTACCCTAAATGTATGTCCACAGGAGGACACAGACTTCATAAAATGAGCTGGAATGCTAAAGACACAGCACAGTCATTCTTCCTAATGATTAGGAGGCAACAGGAGTGGAAACATTGAATGTTCCTTTGTCCATAAATGTCCAGGCCACATTCCTGGTTCTGAACTTCCCTCACAGAAAGGAAGGCTTTGTCTGGAGCTCCCGACTGAGGACAGCAAAGCCTTAAAAAAAACCCAACAAAAACTAACCCAAACTTAGTGGACCAGGGTGAAAAACACCTCTAACTGAGGCCTTGGTTCAGAGGAGGCGTTCACGCTTCCAAGGGAAGAGGCTGGCTGATGTGAAGGGCAGAAACTGGACAGAGATGTGTGTGGTCTGAGAGCAGGATAAAGACAGGGAGTGTGTGTTTATGTGTGTAGGAAGGGAGCAAACTGTTGGTAGTGGGAGTGCAGTCCATGCACATGAATTATAGATGTCAAAGCTGAAAAAGAGCTTGTTGGCCTGTTCACTTTTCCTGCTTGTAGCCGCTGAAGATTTGAAAATGTGAATCTTCCACTCATTTGCACCAAAGGAACTAATGCAGTATACTGCTCTAGTATCATCAATCACTAATTAGATAATTCTGACCCAAAAAAAAAGTGATGATTGGTTCTTTCGAACACTGAGGTTCATTTTGCTCTTAGTATCACTATCCAGGTTTTTTTAAACATACAGTTAAATTTTTTCACTCTGATCTGTAGTTAGGCTTGTTAGGAAGTGTCTGTGCTGTCTTTCTATTTTTAAAATATGGGCCCACATTTGACCAGGTTTTGCTTGAAATTCTCTGGTGCACTGCTGGTAAAATTAACTCACACCTAGTTTTCAAGGCTATTGTAATGTTGTCACCACACTAGAATATATTCTGTGCTAAGTGATTTGGATATGCTAGGCTTTTTTCACAGTATTTCCACACCTGATTTGCATGGAGATCCTTGCTCCTACTTGTCTATACTCCTATTAACTGCTGCTATGGTCATGCATGTTATTGATGGGTTTCTGGAAAGCTCAGCAACTCAGCAATTTTATAACAGCATTATAAATAATTCAATCAACTGTTCTTCCCCACATCTAGTTCTCATTTATTAATGGACCTTCTTTCTAGGCAGTATTTTCTCATCTCTCATCACCATCCAATATATATATATATATACTTGGGGGAGGAATGTAATTAGTTTTGCAGTCCTTCTGCCAAAACTTCCACTGACTTCAGTCAGAGATTTGCCTGAAGAATGCCTGATTATAGCCTGTAGGAGTTGGTCCTATTTCTGTACAGCAGGAACAGGCTGAAGTGAGTGCACACAGGTGGGCAACAGAGTCCCACGGGTGTTTGAACCCACAGGCGTTTTATGAGAAGCATGAAGACGTGGGTTTGTGTGTACAAGAAGGTGAAGGACATGGGGAGAACCAGGCAAAGTGAACGAGGAGTCTGTTATACAAGAGCAGAGGAAACTGAAGATTTTACATGATTTATTCATGTTAAACTCTGTTTAGTTGTTTGGAGGTTTCTTTTGTTTTGTTTTCAAATAACAGAAGAGTGGATTTTCTATTTCTCCCCTTTTCTGTCATCAGACAGCTGTGCAAATATTTTAGCATGTGATTGTAGAAGCACAACACTGAAAACTCCTGAATTGTGCCAAGAGAAAAGTACAGGAAAACAAAAGGCAAACGCCTGGGGTAGATCGAGCTGCCAGGATCTTCTGTCCCCAGGGGAACCAGACAGAGGAAAAGGGAGAGAAAAGAGGAGAACTCTGATAGCTTTCACTGCTTACAGTGACAGTATCCCAGGTCAGAAGGAAACACAGACTTTTGTAATCTTTTTGAAGGAGGTTAGTAAAGGTATCAGAGCAATTAGCAGTCATAGAATCAGGTCTTTCTTGAAGGTTGTTGGCTTTATCTGCAGCACCAACTGTTTATATTGTACCTGCCCTAAGATACTGAGTTCTCAGGCTGCAGGTAAATTGAAAACCCAACTTAGTGCAATAAGTCAGTCTTTGAATTTAGGAAATCAGACCTACATGTCTGTGGTTATACTGGCCTGGCATGAAACAGGTCTGTTTCCAGCAGCTTTAGGGGCTCATCAGCAAAGCAGTGATTCGGGCCAGCTGTCTGAAAACGCATCTCTTCACAAGTTCCCTCAGGAGTTTCTGCAACACAAGTGTGGGCAGTGGGTGATAACACAAACCTAAATATGCCACAGCCAGAAATAAAGCTGCACTGATTCTTTGCCAAAGAATCCTATTTTGTTACTGTAGGGGGATGAATTAATCCATAAAAAAAAATTAGCTATCGCTTCCAACATTCTCAGTGGCTTTTGTCACACTCATTCAGTGATTCCTGTACATCAAATGACAACAAATCTTCATCCTTCCCTCCTGCTTAAGTTAAAACAACAGATCATGCTGTAATAGTACCCTATCTCCCAGCCCATCCTACTGGTGAGAAGTCAAAGGATCAAGGTTTCCCCCTGAAGCTGGTCATCATTCGCACTCTGAAACACAGAGCTGGGGATATTTCTCCTTTTTT